TTCTGAGAAATGGTGGCTCCTTCTTCCCCTCTCCTTTGAAGAAACATAACCTACTGCATAGTTCCCCAAACCTTAGGGCAGTCACCCAAACTTTATGCTCATGGAAAACCAAAATACTTTTTCTCCTAGGCCAGACCCATTCCTGGTCTGCTTCACAGTGGAGTGTGGCCATATACTCAGTTTTAACCAGTAATATGTGAACAGAAGGATGTACATCTCTTCTAAGCCTGGCCCATCAAACTGCCCACACTGTCTACTATTCTTTTTTTTTTTCCCTCTCTCTCTCTGTCTTTTCCCTGGCCGGATCTATTCAAATTGATCTTGAGATCTCTGTTAAAGAAGGCAGAGACATTGTCATCCTTAATCCCTGAATGAACACATGGATAACTACCCCAAACTAGAAACACCCAGGTAGCATTATTGGCATTTTCATGAGTAAGAAATTCTGTATGTAAGCTACAGAGATTTGGGATGGGGATACATCTGTTATAGCAGTTAGAACTATTTACTACAATCTTTTTCCCCATTCTTCTCTGTATATGACTTATACTGTCATTTATTATTATTATTATTATTATTATTATTATTATTATTAGAGATGGAGTTTCCTTCTTGTGGCCCAGGCTGGACTGCAATGGCACGATCCTGGCTCACTGCAACCTCTGCCTCCCCAGTTCAAGTGATTCTCCTGTCTCAGCCTCCTGAGTAGTTGGGATTACAGATGCCCAGCTAATTTATGTATTTTTAGTAGAGACGGGGTTTCACCGTGTCAGCCAGGCTCATCTCAAACTCCTGGCCTTAAGAGATCCACCCACCTTGGTTTCCCAACGTGCTGGGATTACAGGTGTGAGCCACTGCGACTGGCCTACTATTATTATTATTATTTGGAGACAGAGTCTCTGTCACCCAGGCTGCAGTGCAGTGGCATAATCATAGCTCACTGCAGCCTTGATCTCCTCAGCTCAGGTGATCCTCTTGCCTCAGCCTCCCGAAGTATCTAGGATTACAGACATATGCCATCATGCCTGGCTAGTTTTTTTGTTGTTGTTTTTGTTTTGAGACAGAGTCTCTCTCTGTTGCCCAGGCTGGAGTGCAGTGGCACCATCTTGGCTCACTGCAACCTCTACCTCCCTGGTTCAAGCAATTCCCCTGCCTCAGCCTCCTGAGTAGCTGGGATTACAGGTGCTTGCCACCACACCTAGCTAATTTTTTTTGTATTTTTAGAAGAGACAGGGTTTCACCATGTTGGCCAGACTGGTCTCGAACTTCTGACCTCAGGCAATCCACCTGCCTCAGCCTTCCAAAGTGCTGGCATTACAGGCGTGAGCCACTGTGCCCAGCCAGCTAGTTTTTATATTTTTTATTTTTTGTAGAGATGAGCTCTTGCTGTGTTGCTCAGGCTGGTCTGGAATTCTTGGTCTCAAGCAATCCTCCCACCTTGATCTCCTAAAGTGCTAGGATTACAGGTGTGAGCCTCTGCACCTGGCCTATTATTTTTCTTTAAATCAAGTTGCTTTTTATGAATTTTGATTTAAAAAAGTAAACTTTGTCATTATCACAAATAAAAAACAGTATCACTACAAATAGAAGGTAACTCTAAAAATACATTGAGTGGGGAAAAAAAAAAAAAACAGTGTTATTCATTTCTAGCTAGATGCCATTTCCTGGAGAAAGTTCTTTGCATGAGACCTGTTGTCTCTATGTTGAAAAAGGGAAACTAGCCACTATTAGAAAAGTGTTAAAGACATATTACCAGAAAGTTCTTTGCATGAGACCTGTTATCTCTATGTTGAAAAGGGGAAACTAGCCACTATTAGAAAAGTGTTAAAGACATATTACCACAAAACTGAGATGTATTGCTTGGCAGAATCAGAAGAGTTGAAAAAATTGAAAATCATTTCCCCATAGTTATGTGATTCCGTGCTATTTAATGTTCTGTCTCAGTCACCTTAAGTCATCTGGTTTACCAGTGGTACACATCCTACCCTTGAGAGTGAAGACTCACTAAATGGAGACCAGGTTTGGCTGGAAGCTTGAGGATGAGCTGAAATGCATAATAGAAAATCCAGTGTGAATCATGTAGGAGTGGGATAAAATGAGACTTCTGCAGGCATAGGAAGACTCGCCAACCTATAGTTCATCATTTCAAGTTGATTCTTGATATATAGACAAAAGGTTTTTTGTTAATCAGGATATTTGTGGTTTCCTCCTCTAGTGTGTTGGAATAAGCTTTGGACACACTAACCTTTCCATGGATAACAATAAACTCGGGACAAAATGCAAAAAAGCAACTACTTGAAGGTTTTTGAAAGGGAAAAAAAATGAGCAAACAGGTTTTGTAAAGCAGTGGACACCTAGATAAAAGAACTTTAGTGGGGCGAGTTGTCTGTTTTTGCGGAATGACACAGGGCAGCCAAAGTTGTGATTAAAAACTCTTAGCTTTCTTGTCTGAGTGGCAAGAAGAAAGAATCTAGGGAGCCTATGACCATTGGAGAGTGAGAGGGGGAAACCAGAAAGGAGAGTCAGACAAGGAGAGCCCAAGATTGTGAGTGTAAACTCTGCCCAAGTCTCTGGCTGATTCTTGAACCATACATGTGTTGGACAAAGTCAAAGCAGCAGTTAACGGTAACAGAGCTGGACTGAGATTTGATCTGCTGCCTCCTGCACACAAGACAGGGTTTGCAGTTTAACAAAACTAATTGCTTGTTAAAATAAACATTAACACTGTTCAAAGGAAAATAATGGAATCCAGAGTCTCCACAACAGTATTCATAATGTTTAGGATACAATCCTAAGTTACTTTAGCTACAAAGAACCTGGATTCATCAAGGATCCTTTCTACTCATTTATCTTCAGGTTTACTGAATCTTTCCCCATTACTTTTACTGTGCTATTAAGTAAACCCATACAGAGGATTTTTTAAATTTCAGATATTATTTTTAGATCTAAGATTTCCCTGTTGTTGTTTTTTATATTTTATATTTTCCTGCTGAAATCCCTATATTTTCATTTATGTGTACAAGAATATTTTCCTTTATCTCAATTATAATAGTTGCTTTAGAATCGTTGCCTAATAATTTCAACATCTGCATCATCTCAAGGTTGACTTCTATCCATTTTCCCTTGAGAATGGGTCACATTTTCCAGGTTCTTTGTATCATAGTCAAATTGCAAAAATTAAAGAGAAAATCTTGAAAGCAGTCAGAGGAGAATGGCACATAACATAGAAGGTAACTGATTTAAACGATCATGGACACCCATCTGGAGCTATGGAGGCCAGCTGAGAGTTTAACAATATCTTTAAAGTTCTAGAAGGTTTGGGGGAGTACAACCCTGTCAAACAAGAAATCTGTATCCAGTGAAAATTTCCTTTGAGAATAGAGGCAAAAATATTTTTAAATAAAAAGAAATATAAGAAAACTCACAATCAGCAGATCTTCACTACAAGAAATGCTAAAGAAAAATTTTAAGCTATATGGGAATAATATGAGAGGGAATCCTGGCTATTACAAGGAGTAATGTAGAACATCAGAAATGGCAGATATCTGTGTAAATAAAAAATATTTTGTTTCCTCTCAATTTATTCACAATTCATATGATTAATAGCAAAAACTATAACATTATCTTATGGGATTTATTATGTACATAGCTGTAATGCATATGACAGCCATAGCATAAAGTACAGTACTATGGTGGTGGGAGGATGTGTTAATGGAATATATGGTTAAGGTTTGCACATTTTCTGTGAAGCAGTGCAGTATGAACTCTAAGTAGATTGTGAAAGTTAAGGATGTATATTCTCTACAACAACACTAAAAAAATAATGCTAAAAGCCATAGCTAATAAAGACAATGGGTAAGTTGAAGTAGAATTCTAAAAAAAAAAATAAGTGGAGTGTTTATGGTATGGGTAAACTAACATACTAAGAGAGTTGATCATTTTGGTGCTATGGACTTGTCATGGAATTCATCATATCTGATTTACCCTTCCTTCCTTCCTGCTTATCTGGCTGTTTTCATTGAACTAACTCTTTCCATAAAGTCTGCTATAATTTGTCACACTTGTTTTCTTATCTCCATAAATGTGTGAGCTTCATGCTTATAGTGCTACACATTCAGTCATTATGGTGAGGAGGATTTGGAAGTTTCACATGGAGAGAAAAATACTTAATACCTATCTTCTGCAGAGATTGTCTTTTCTTAAAGATAAGATTCTGGCAAATTATAAAGATGACTGTGGGAGGCTTAAAGGTAGCCCATAATATGTTAGTAGCAGGTACATGGAATCCGATGTTCAGCATATTTGATTTTTCTTAATAAAATCCATTTTGATATGTAATAATCATCACCATTTCTCACATACCTATTGTGTGCCAGACACTGTACTGAGACCTTAACATGTGATATGTCATTTTATACTCAAAATAGAGTCAATGAGAAAAAATTTTTTCCCTATTTACAGATGGTCAATTAATTTGTCTTAGATCAAATAACCTCTCTCCATCCTGTAGTTAATGATGGTGGTAGGATTCAAATCTAGGTTGGCTTGGATTTGAACCTCTTCCCACATGTCACACTTCTTCCTGTTAGATGTTTACCAGAGTTAAATGCTGACATCTGCTTTGTCATCATTATTCAACCATAGGTATTTTTGAGCACCTGGGAATAATAAGTTGCAGCAAGATGCATGATCCACTGTTGATGGTTAGGGTGGTACATGCCTTCTCAAGAGCCCAAAATGCTACAAACTGTTTTTCCCATCCTCTTCTACTTCTATCCTAAAAACACTAACCCACTAAAATCTAGTACCATTCATCAAAATGATTGGTTTTTTCCACTGTGCAGAGGAATAAACTGAGGCCCAAATGAATCGTATTAGAAGAGCTAGGTGGGAAACCATATGTCTAGGCTCAAACCTAAACTGAGTCCTTTCTTTACTTTGTTTTTTTTTTTTTTTTTTTTGAGACAGAGTCTGGCTCTGTCACCCAGGTGGGAGTGCAGTGGCGCCATGTCAGTTCACTGCAACCTCCGCCTCCTGGGTTCAAGCGATTCTCCTGCCTCAGCCTCCCGAGTAGCTGGGATTACAGGTGTGTGCCACCATTCCTGTCTAATTTTTGCATTTTTAGTGGAGATGGGGTTTTTGCCATGTTGGCCAGGCTGGTCTCAAACTCCTGGCCTCAAGTGATCCACCCACCTTGGCCTCCCAAAGTGCTGGGATTAGGTGTGAGCCACGTAGCCCAACCAGTCTTCTCTTACACTTTAAATTTGAATCCCTATTCTAAAAATTTAGTGATAAAGACATGTTTTTTGAAGTGTTCCAGAACTGAACTGCTCCTGGCAAAGTCAGGATAGTGAGAGGATAGGAATAGAATCTACATGAGCCAGTCACATTTTTTCCTGTCTCATCTCTGGAATGTCATGGCAGGATATCAGATCAGTAGTGACATTTACAGGAGACTGAACATTTTTAACAGGAAAGATGAAGAGTTTTTAAGACCTTATTAAAACCAAACTCCAAGTTAACTTAGAACCATAGCCTTTTAAAGGTATGATAGGATCTCAGAGAACATCATTCTCATATTCTCTTTTTACGGGTGCTTTCAGAGGCCAAGAGGGGTTGAATATCTACTTTAGAGGCAGGACACACAATTAGTCTTTGCAGAACCAGGTGTCCCAACTTCCAGTTTGGGACATTCACCATTTTTTAATTATTACTCCCCTTCATCTGCTTCTTGAGCTGATGAGCTATTTGTGAAGCTTCCCTTATGCCTCTTGAACTGCTACTGCTGCTCTTGAAGGTGTGAGAATGAGAACATATACATTATAATTTAAATTATTGGATCAGTTGAACAATTTGTCCCTGCAGGTCAAATTCTTCAACTGTGATCAATCCCTGTGGGTCAAATTCAAATTTAATTTTTTAAATGGTTTTTTCAGAAAGATTTCATTTCATTCTACTTCTCCAAATAGATAAATGTTTACTTCAAGAAACTGTCAACTATTGTTAGTGCTTCAAATCTGCCAGCCATTGACTGGTTGTTTTTGTTGTTTGTTTATTTTTGTTTGTTTGTTTGTTTGTTTTGAGACAGAGTCTTGCTCTTTCATCCACGCTGGAGTGCAGTGGCGCAATCTCAGCTCACTGCAACCTCCACCTCCCGGGTTCAAGCAATTATCCTGCCTCAGCCTCCCAAGTAGCTGGGACTACAGGTGTGCGCCACCACACCCATCTAATTTTTTATATTTTTAGTAGAGACGGGGTTTCAGCGTGTTAGCCAGGATGGTCCTGATCTCCTGACCTTGTGATCCTCCCTCCCCGGCCTCCCAAAATGCTGAGATTACAGGCGTGAGCCACCGCGCCCATCCAGCCATTGACTTCTTGAAGCAGCATAATTTGTTGTCCATGGCTCCTGAATGTTCCTCATGCCACCAGCCCTTGTGGTGGATAGTACAACACTACTGTATTCCTTGGAAACCTGGGATCATCTGAAAAGTTCGTTTCTGTGGGTCAGACTTTTAATTGATTGTTCAATTGATCATTCCACCCAAACTTTGTTGCCTATTTTAAAATGACTAGCCTGGTTCTACCATTCACTTCAAGCATCAGTTGACAATTTGGCCCTGTATATATCAAAGAAATGTAAAGGAAGGAGTTCACTGACTTTGATAATCTTAAATAGTTTTGTCAGTACTGTAAATACTGATCTCGAATAAAATACTAAACAACATTCAAGACCTTATTTGACCTGCTGTTGCACTAGAGTTGTTTGGAGCCAAAACTTAAAATCTTTTAAAGCCATATCAATGTAAAATAGAGTAAAATCTCCAGTAAAGTTCTAGATTATTCATAAAACATAGTGGAAATTTTTAGGAGACTTCCAAGCCATTACTCCAAGTTAAAGCCAACATTCTAAGTTAAAGCCAAGTATCCTGTTGGAATCCTGTTGGATTCAGGTTGTGCACAGCTGGGGTGACCTTCTTAAATGTTCTTATTCTGGAGTTTGCATTAAAACCAAAGGAAAAGCTGCAAAAATAGTTGATTAGATATATCTGAGTCCACATTTTAGATATATTTAATTTGAAAAGAATCAATGATAAAAATAGGACTTGGCAACATAACTAATAGTTGAAAATTTTCTTAATGAAAATGAGAATTTTTGTTTGATTTTGAGGGTTTCTTTTTTTTGTTATTTCTGTTTTTGTTTTGTTTTGAGATTTTGAGTTGGCCTTTGGGAAGAAATATTTGCAGCAGCCTAGAATACCCAGAATAATCTTGAACTTGCCTTGAGGACTGTAGGGAAAACCCCTGCTTGCCTTAGCATATTCTTGGAAACAATACCACAAACTGATTTATGTTTTTCTATGAGAACAACATTGTGAAAGCAGCATCTTTTCTGACCAAAGACTTGGCATCATATATACCATCTTACCAACAATATGCCATAAAAAAAGATAATAATACAAAAAGTAAAATTCTAGCATCATAAACCTTCTAAGTTAAAGAAGGTTTAAATTTGCTGTAGCAATTGATCATTACAAGAGGTCTCCATGACTATAACAGCACCCAGAGCTCTTCAAACTACAACATTGTGTCATAAATGGGATTGCGTAAATGGAAGTACCTTGCATAACCCTGGCTGGTGATTGGTATCAGGTAATGTTGATTGAGAACAAATATTAAATATCTGTTCGCTCTCCAAGGTGATATTTCTTAAAGTTTTATGTTTCAGTTTACAATGTCTACTTCCTTTGTTTGTTTGTTTGTTTGTTTGTTGCCCAGGCTGGAGTGCAGGGGCATGATCTTAGCTCACTGCAACCTCTGCCTCCTGGGTTCAAGTGATTCTTATGCCTCAGCCTCCCCAGTAACTGGGATTACAGGCGTGCACCACCACGCCCAGCTAATTTTTGTGTTTTTAGTAGATATGGGGTTTCACCATGTTGGCTAGGCTGTACAATGTATACTCTCACATTCTTAGACTATGAAAGATGACTTAAACTGTGGAGAAGTATGGGAAGACCTTCTTCTTTTAGAGATATCTGAATATCTCTGAAATTCCATGTAACGAGTCAGGGCATTCATGAATTGTCCTATTTTCAGTTAGTGTTCTAAGTGCTATAGTAGGGACTCCTCAGATATCTGTTATAAGTAGTGGATGAAGAAGGAGGAGAAGGAGAAGTTTTTAAAGAATAATAGCTAACCTAATCTTTTGTCTCTTCCACCATCTTTAGTTAATTCAGACGTTCTCCTTCAATGGCAAAGGGTGACCAGGAAATACTGCATAGTATTTATTTCACCATAGGGTATATTAGACATCGCCCAAGAATGCTAAGATAGGATAAGGCTGTGTCCTCCTGATCCTTCAGGATGAGCAGGCCAAACCACCAAATGATCAAATTCTAGAATAGGCAATTTGCCCCGAAGTGCTTTTGGTAAAGAATCCATTTGGAATAGTGTTTCTCAACCCTCCTACTATATCAGAATCACCAAGGCCTGGGGCCTGCCCCAGACACTGATCCAGTTGTTCTGTGGCAAGATGGCAGTTAAAAACACACAAGAACTTTCAAGTGATTGTAATATACAGCCAGAGTTGAGAAAGATTGGGCCAGAGCCTTCTTATCTGCCAAATAATGGAAGGCAGAATGGAGGGATAGGGGTTCATTTTATTAACATCTAATGAATTGATTTAAAATGAAAATGGGTGCCTCTTAATAATAATGATAATATTGATTTAGTGTTTATCATCGTACAGGCACTGTACACACATGAACACATTTAAACTGTGCCACAGCCTTCGATGTATAGGTGAGAAAAGAGTCCTGATGTCAATTAACTTAGTCATAACAATATAGCTGCTGGCATTAGGATCCGGCTCTACTTCAGAAAAGCTCATCACTTTCCACTCTATCACACCACCTCTACACTTTTACTTTCTCATCTACTTTTGTCTTTGAGGAGATGCAGTTAAAGTCAGGCAAGCTCACATATATTACCACTGCTAACAAATTCAGCAGCCTAAGTATTGCTGAGGAATTTAAGTGGCTGATATGTTTGTTCCAGTCTTGGGTAGAAAGGGTACATTATCCACAATTAATTAATATTAATTTTTTAACAATGTATAAAGAAAACAATTTTATCAAAAAATTATCCACTTGAATTTTATGAATGAAGACAGGTGATTCCTGTCCATGGAAAATAAATAGTCTATATCCTTTAAATAATTTAAGGCACATTTCATGCTAATATTCTGTGTCTACCTATGTCTTTCATTGAAAAAGTATTTACCCAATATCTTAAAGCAGGGCTATGATTAACTTAGTTCTCAAGGAAAGGAGGTTTTAAAAATAATTTTCTCTGCTCTCCATTTCTCTTACTGTAAGCATGTGGCAAAGTCTTGGCATCTGCTCAGAATAAATTTTCTGCTTCCTTTCTGTCTTTTAGTCAACGCACGCTTTCTCTGAGTTCTCCCCCTTACTCCTTCCCCGCTTTAGTAATCTACAGGAAACCAGACCTTACTAATTTGAGTGTTTGCTCTTAGAATTACTTATTATTGTATTAATACGTATTTGCTAGAGTTTGTGGAGGATTTGTATTGCTCTAGGTGTTAATAAAAATGTGTAAAAGACAGGCCCCTTAAATAATGTGCAATTTTGAGGGGAACAACAAAGGCAGAAGGATTTCTTTGGGACTGGCTATTTGCAATAGATTGCTCATTTTATTTATTTTTTATTTGTTAGCATGCAGGAGGTTTATTAAGAAATGCAATGATGGCAGGATTGGCCAGAGAGAGAAGTCAAGACAAGATGCATTCTCAATGGAATGCCTCAGCTGACCATGTGGGGAGTTCTAAAGATGGGCTGATGATTCAGAGTGCCCCATGTTGGTTTATCAGTCATTTGTTTTGAGCTGCCCTGGAAAGTGGATGTGAAGTTGGTTGAGGAGGCCCCAGATTTCTCATTTTAAAATGTTGCATGTAAGAGGACATTTTTGACAAAGAACTGCTAATTAAATTTTAAAA